GTTCTCTTCAGTCTGATATTACCGCCTTGCAATGGAAGATTGAATTTCAATATGCTATCACTTCGCATGACCGAATCAAAACTACGAAGCGTATTAAAACAAGTAATCTGGCTCCAGACAATGAAAAAAAAAACCTACATTATTGGGATCGCACACATCCTGCGAATTACTCTCCCAATGCAGTTTTTTTCTACCACTTCATTGTTCTTATAATACATAGGTTTAAACCGAGTGAATACCGTTTTAACCAAGGGCGAACAATAACAACAGCGCTCCTCTCACTCGTGGAACGTAGCACACGAACAATGAAATCTTTTACACCTATCATTCCGCCATCACAGTACACTTCATAGAATGCATTTTCTGCACTGTAAACGGGAATACTATTTTTCTTATAAGAGAATGAGCAAAGTTTTGAACGGCTGAAGAAAAGGAACGAATTTAGAGGGAAGTATCTTTAGAAAGAAGTAAAGGGCCTTCCTCTTCGAAACAAAAATGCACGGAAAATCAAAGAGATGGATGGAGTGATGAAGACGATGGACAAAATATTCGACATAAAAGCCGAGAAGTGCGATACTACTATATCTACCATTACAACATCCAACCACCAACTATGTGGAACGTAACCGACTGCCATCCGCTACCTTGTCACAGTTTCAGAAAATCATTGTTGAAAGAGACAAAAAGTTAAAAATCAGTTCGAAATTGGTGGAACATGCAAGAATCGGTGCAAGACAGGATTTGGAAGGTACGGTTACTACACCAACTCCCGCCCGCTCTCTCGTGCTCCACTTCCCCAAAGTCTTCCAATATTTCCTACCCACCTTCCCCACCTCATCGTCATCCCCGTCGCCACCGTCACTACTGCCTTTGACAACGGAATGCTGCACCCTTCGTTCTCCTTCATTTCTGCTTCAAGCAATTGACTTGCTTGTTTGCGAGTTTCCTGCATTATTCTGCTTGCATTGTAGACAGCCTTTCTTTTTCGTTTCTTTCTCTCCCCCTCTCTACTTTCTTACTTTCTTCACTTCATTTCATCCATCCAATCAAATGAAGACCTCACGCGTGCGCCTCTCAATAATGATCCTTTTCCTCCGCGCGAGCACTTGACACTTGGCCGACTACATCCGCTCATTTCCTTATCAGTTCCTCCGACAGCACTATTGTCTAGTAGTCATTCGCCATGATGACAAAGAATGTCCACCCTATTGGGTACTCATCTATCAACATCGCACAAGTTTCAACATTTGTCCCTAGCCGACTCCCTCTCTCTTAATATCGACACTATCTTTGACGATATCTCAGGAAATGAACGTTGAACTAAGCGAGATCCTCCTTTAGTGGCACGGAATAGTTTGGAACAAGTTTTACTCTTCCTTCCCCACCCACTCATCCGTCTGATTCCTTCCAACTCCACTCTTTCCCAGTCAAGTTAAGACGTATTTAGCTCACTATTACAGTTCTTTCTATACAACAAA